CGACCCAGAGACTTTCTTGCTGTGAGGCGACAGCACTACCTACTGCGCCACTGCTTTGCCAAGATTGTTTCAATAGAGTTAATTTTTTAAACAAGTTAACTTTTTTAATAAACATGCAAATACTTATTCAAAAATCATTATTATTTTTGCTGTTGTGTTTATTTTTATTATAAGTAGTAGTAGTGGTCAAGTGTGGACATGCTCATATTACTTTAGGCCCCTTTTGCACATTTATTTAATGTTGTCTATGTGTGATTGGACTGTCAAAAATGCATCCTAATACCGGGTAAATGTGTGATTCTAAAAGACAGGACTTCAATACCTACAGCCAGTGGCCTAGCTAGACATACTGAGCTCTGTACAGGTTTTTGCTCTGAGCCCACTCAGAAAATTGAAGAAATTGCAATGGGGATAGATCACATCATGGGCCTCTCTAAACCTCTAGCACTATGCACTCTATCTTCTTTTACCCCCACTTACAATGCTCCTGCCAACAGCTGCCATATTGAGATTTAATGACACACATTTACAAGTCATGTTTGGTCATTTCCATTTATACTGTTTCTGAGTCTAAGTAATCTTGCCAAAAGACAAAAAAAAAAAAAGCTCAGGCACCCATATTATAATACTGGGAGAGGATGCCAGCTGTTCAAGAACGTCCAGCCCAATAACCGATAGAGAATTGCTCCCCCGAGAGATCCAGGACAAACAGATGATGTTTGCCATCTAGTTTGAGTTGAGTTTGACTCTCCACTAGAGATCTTCAAAAACTCAAGCGTGTGTTTCAAATGGAAAAGGCGCATGGAAAGCTACTTCCATCCAATTAAATTGCTGTCTGTTTTTTTCTGCAAATGCCTCTTCTGTTCTCCCCAGAATATGTCATCACCGGGATGACTATATTCTCATGACTTTTTGATGTGTTTTCTTTGGCTGCGGTGGCCTACTGCCATTGGCATCTGCCAGCCAACGGTCAGTGCGCTTGAGCTTGACAATCACATTAGATCTCATCACAGTCCCTTGTTGGTTAAAGGGTGTTGGATAGAATTCAAGACCTCACCAGGGATACAAGTAAAGACCGTAGGAAATAGAGCAATAATGGACTGTCAAGGATTTGAAGAACAAGGTGTCCAGGAGGACCCTGCAATATAGGGAAGAATTTGTGAACTCTAGGCCACACTGTTAAAAATTGTCCCGTTAAAAAACAGTAAAATACTGGCAGCTGCAGTTGCCAGCAATGTACTGTTATTTTACAGTAAGTTGCTGTAAAATACATGGACTACATTGATTTACACAATACTCAAGTTAACTCATTTTGCTCACTGAAAGCAACTGCCTCAACTTGGTCAACTGCTGAATGAGTTTATGAAGTAATGTGCTATATATGCTTAGAAGCATACTTATAATGATAACTTATTTTAGTTAATTAAAAAAGTTCGGTTTAACTCTAATGTCTTATTTTTCACAACAGCACACATACATGTAAATCTGGAACTACCAGAGAGATTCTGACTGCATCAGCAACTAAACAGCTGATGTTTTTAAATAGAAAAACATGCAGAATAACATCAGCAGCTCATTGTTCATCTTTAACTCATACACTGGCTCTACTCTCCTCCACAACGGTGACATACAAAAGAAATTAGCTACAGGTTTTACAGTAAAATACTGTTTTTTCCTAGATTTAACGGTAATCTACTGGCAGCTGTGGTTGCCAGCAATCTACTGTTTTTTTACAGTCTATTTCCGTAGTGTAAATTAACATTATATTACTGTTAAAATACATTTTCACACTGTGTTTTTACCTCTCCCATCTTTAACCCTTTAAACCCCAGAGCAAATACCCCAGTTTTTATTGAAGTGTCCACACTACTGAGTGTTCAAGAAACATGTAGCAAAGCTGAAGTAAATTCATTAATTAGCTGACTAATTAAATGATAATTGAGGATTAACAATGAACAAATGAAGAAATACTGAAGGGAAAAAACAAGAACAGAACATACAAAACTTTAGTCACAGCTTTATAATGAAATAACCTGAAGAACAACAAATGATTAAATCATTTAAATGATCAGCGGATGATTAAACAACTCTACAAACATCATCACCAGCTACACTTATTACTTAATACATGCATTTTTGTATAACATTTACTAAAGTTCTTCTTGAGAAAAAGTTAAAGTTTTACGTCACCATCATGGAGAACAGAGTTTGCTTTAGTTGGGCTCTTAGCCCTGTCATTTTTAACATTTATATATATTGGCTGCTGCAATTATTAAGAACTTTGTTTAAAAAGCTTCTTTGTTGTGGCAAGCCAGCCAAAAACCTAAATAAGATCTGGTGATGTTCATGTTGCTATTAAATGGCAGAGTCTGTTCTCATTTAGTATAATAAAATTTACTGCTCCTATTCAATGTTAAATCTGTTGTTTTACATTATATGTCTATATATGGCAATGATTTCTGGAAGTTTTTAAGAATATCTTGGACAATAACACTGCTCTATGGTGTGAATCGCACTCAAAGAGACATCAATAATCAGCATATGAACCTCAATAATGGTGACAACTAACAAAATTAACAGTTTAACTCACGAACAGGCAACTGAAAGTCTAAACATAAACAACAGCAGAATCAAACACAAATAAAGACAACTGTGAGACCATTATACAACATTTATTTATACCGCAATGCATGCTGGGATATTTGTACCGTGCCACTCCCAGCATGCATTGCAGCATGAAACGTTTGAGATGTTACCATTGTTGAGATACAAGGTCAGATTCATCAGGTCTGAGTGTGTATGTGTCATAACTGAAATGTTTTTGTATGTTATTTCTTAACTGTTAAGTAATTACGGAGGTATCTTTTCTGTTTCCTCTTCTCATTAATTAAATTAATACCTGCAACTAAGCATAAAATCTATTGCATCAGGCCCTTCTTCCAGATTTATAACAAAACATTTATCAGTATTAATTTCAGACAAATAGATTTCTCTATTTATTGACTTTCCAACTTGATTGCCATAATACAAGCATTTTGTTAACTCTTTATTATAGTAATTGGAGAGTCTGAATGAATAAGTTTAAGGGTGAAGAGCCCAACTAAACCAGCCCCTCACTCCATTACGGTGACACAAAAAACACCTCAATTTCTGTTGGATCTCAATGAGAATAGTATGGAAGTCAAATCAGTCAGTAATAAGTGTGTGTCTGCTGTTGTTTGTGGAGTTGTTTAATGATCCTCTGCTGAGACTGAAGGTGTTTTATTTTATTTTATTTAATGTAACTGACGTCACTGTTTGTTTCTTGTTTATTTTCTTCAGTAATTGTAATTATTAACAGCAGGAGTTCATCAGTGTCTGAATTCACTCATTAGTGTTCATTAACTCTGTCAGGTGAACTATATTAGTTAACTAGTGTATGAAATAGTGAACAAGGACACAAAGTGTGATTTCAAACACAGACTTCAAAACATCGAATCTGAACTCTGTTAGCTCACAGTTTTCTACAGTTGGTTACTTTCTCGAAAACAAAAATGTTACCCAGAAAGCACTGTTTTTAACAGAATATTACTGTTTTAGTGAAAAAACATTATTTTACCGTAGAATCTGACCGTTTTTTAACAGCAATTTTTTACAGTGCAACATGGGTGCCAAAAGTTGTTAACTGATTAGACACAAATATTGTTTATTGTAAATAGTGTAATGGATATAAAGTGTGTACAGAGAGCATATTGAGTGTGAAATCATTGACTGCTTGATACACAAACAGTCGGCTTACTGCCAGACAGTGTCAGATCACTGTATTGATAAAATATGACAATATGACAATTGTGAGCCTCAGGGCTCACAGCTCCACTGCTGACACATTTATGTAGTGTGTAATACTGTGTATTGATGAACACCTAAAAATCCTATTCCTAACACTTTAAAATCCTATCAGAGGGGTCGCACCTCACCACCACCAGTGTTCAGCATCCACCAATATGATGTGACCACAACCGCAGTACAACAGCCTCTGATGAGTGCAAACAGAGCCAATTGCAGGATAGGGTTATTAGAAGACCATGATTAGTAAGAGCCAATAGAAGAAATTTGACCAGGACCATCACTTTACAAAATGTGTTATGAAGAGAGACAGGACTAAAGAAAATTGGTTCATACACTATAGTGTTCCCACCAGTGACATCACCACCACTCACTAACACCACTTCCAGCACAACCTACTTTTGCCCAGGAGGTCTGCCATTCAGGTACTGGCCAAGCTCAACCCTTAACTTTTAGTATTGGGCAGCAGAGCAATACAGTTGTGACTAATAATACATATACATGGTCACAGCGATCCTTACCTTAACACAGTGGTTGCACTTTTCACAGTTCTAAAGGGAGTCACAGTTCTAAAGTTAATTTTCAAACTATATTATGCAAGTTATTTTATTTTAAGGATCTGAAATATTCTTTTGTTTTCAGTATGGCAATAAATGTCACTCATAATGGTATCCATACTTGCATCAGCATTTAACAATGAATGTAACATTTATTGTAGTTTATGCTTTTGCTCAACTGCAATGTCACAGTAAAAGAAACCATTTCTAAAATAGTCATTTTGTATGTCGCTGTCGTGGATGGTAAGGACAAAAGCTCCTTTTAATATACATGGTGTAACAGAGTTACTTCTGCACTTGCAGAAATAAAAAAAGAGTACAAAAGCTGTCACAGGAGTGGCACATTTTCAAATGGTACACTTTTGTACTTTACAGCTGCACATTACTACCTTTAGGGTACATGTTTGTACTTTTAAGGTACTATAAGATACAGATTTTTACTTTTTTAGGTATTAATATGTACCTTTAAGGACCTGTTAGGAACAAAAAAGTTTACTGCTGCAGTGACAGATTTTGTAGTTTTATTCCTGAGAGTGTGCTTTAACAGGAATAGAAGTAATGTGGATAGTATTGGTGAAATTTGCAGTTGGGATAATCATTACTCTTGTCTCCTTAAAGGACTCTCCAGGAGTTAATGAAGCAGCCAGGTGGAGAGGCGAATGCTGTGGATGGACCTCTGAGCAACAGCTCCTCTATTGGAGCAAATGGCATCTCTGCCAGGATGCTTCGCAGCCGCAGTGGTGAGGTCTTCCCCATATACAGTACAAATAAAAAGAAAAAACTGCAACAGATTCCCCATCATCTTACATGTCTGCTCACACAGCTTCTCAAAGGACTCTTGCTTCCCAAGAGTATTGCATGACAGCAAGAACTCTAAATCACTGACCCACAACTGCTCACTTATTTCTGTTCTTTTAACACAGTTAACAACAAGCAAACAAATAAATAAATAATTTTAACAAGTAAATTAGAAAAGCGCATGAGTTTACAAGGATTCAGTGAGGTGTAACTACACGATTGTAGGCGTGAATCCTGTAACAAATCCTACAGGGACAGCTTAACAAAAATCCATGCAAAAATTCATTCATAATTTGCCCACCTGCAATTTCAATCCAAACCATTATGACTATGATTGATATGTAAAATAAACCAAAAAAAAAAAAAAAGTGAAAATCATGCAAAATGCTAAGAAAATAGAAATAAACTCTGGCACCTTGTCCTAACACCACATGACAAAAACCTTTAGTTTAAATACCTCAGACATAATAATAATATTAATATATAATAATATATTATATAATAATAATAAGAATAATGCCCTGCACTCCAAAACAAAGGTATCACAATTCCACAAATAGAAACCCGACAAGTGCTGCACACATACAAACCATAAACAAAACAGCATTTACATATTTTTTTAACAGTAGAGGGATTTGCGATATTGCAAATATGTCTGATAGTCTGACAATTCATATGGTTGGTAAATATTTAGGAAATGTGACAAAATGACCGCCAGCTTGTTATTCAATCTTAACTTTTGTCATTACGTTACTTAAATTTTTGTTCCCACACTTTGAACAGCCAATCAGAGCATTCACTGATGACTGACACCAATTCATGCTAAATTAGGCAAATTCCCACTGACGTCTGGTGTGGTGTAAAACCCACCAAACACACTAGCCTGACAAATGGTCACTGATAGCCCAACACGGCCAGATGACTGACTGTCAGATTGGCGTTTCTGCTGCTGTAGCTTATCTGTTTCAAGGCCAGATGATGTTTTGTGTGTCCAGAAATGCACTTTTATACATCTCAGTTGTAATGAGTAGTTATTTGCATTACTGCTGCCTTTCTATCAGCTTGAAGCATTTTGCCTAATCTCCTCTGACCTCTAAGCATACACCAACAATATAGTTTTACCCAGAGAACTGCTACTCACTAGATATTTTATGATCTTTGGATCATTTTCTGTAAACCCAAGAAATGGTTGTATGTTTTTTAATACTCAGACCAGCTCTTAAAGGATAGTTCAAACAAAAATAAAAATTCTGTCATCATTTAGTTAAGTTTATGAGTTTCTGTCTCACAAGATATATTCAAAAAGAAAAAAAGATGAAAACCTGGGCAGCACGGTGACGCAGTAGGTAGCACTGTCGCCTCACACAAAAAGGTTGCTGGTTCAAGCCTCAGGTGAATTGGGTAAGCTAAATTGTTCATAGTATATGAATGAAAGTGTATGGGTGTTTCCCAGTGATAGATTGCAGCTGGAAGGGTATCTGCTGCGTAAACATATACGGGTTGGCGGTTCATTCCTCTGTGGCAACCCCTGATTAAAAAAAGAGACTACGCAAAAAAAAAAAATATGAATGAATAAATGAATCTGAAAACCTGTAACCACTCAGTTCCATAGTAGGAAAAACATATACTATAAAGTCAATAGCTACAGGTTTTCAGCTTTCTTCAAAATATCTTATTATGTATTAAATATCATTAAGGTTTAGAACCATTTGACATTGAGTAAATACCTTGTGTTTCTGCCATGTGAACCAGTTCTGCCAAAATATTGTATGTGGTTTGGCTGCAATACAATGTTTATCAGATATTTAAATAAGAACTATTGATTATACCGCATGTCTTTGGGGGAAACCGGAGTACCTGGAGGAAACCCACACAAACGTGGGGAGAACATGCAAACTCCACACAGAACCACAAAATGACCCAGTCGAGGCTCGAACCAGCAATTATTTTGCTATGAGGCGACAGCACTACCTGCTGCGCAACTGTGTCGCCAGAGCTATTTAATAAAAGTAAAGTTTTCAGATTTACCCTTATAACATTGGCTCAATGAAGCACATCATTATGATACAAGTTTCTTATGTACACCCTGCCACTTTTGCTGTTTGATAAAATGTCAAGATAAAATATATCCCCTCTGCTTCTTTTTACGCATTTTATCCTTTAATTTTATCCCCCATGCTTTTCATTTCTCCTCAAAAAATACATCTGTAACCTTCTTTTCTTACTCAACTATAAACGCAAGTGAGGTCGTCTCATCTGTGATTTCACTCTGTGGATTTACACAGGCGTGAGATGCAGCGGGTTTAGACCGACAGTTGATGTGGGGTTTATGCTGATATCCAGAGTCTGTGCCAGGCTTAACGGCACACTTTCTCTCCTTTTTATGAGGAGGATTTAAGTTTTGCTTCACAGTGCTTAGAGGCTTTAGCGATGTGACTGTACACATCTCACTGCATACTTTCTGCGGGCATAGTAATTGTCTGAAGATTAAACTTGTGGAGTGTTAGGTCTTGCAATGGGAAGGTGATTTATAAATGCAGGTTTCAAAATAAGTGACTTAAAATAAAATGCCTTTGATCCATATAGGGTTAAACTGGGAATATTATACTCCCACACTGATTGGAAAGAGAAGCGCATATTGTAGCAACAATAGCAGCATGTTGTAAATCAAGTATGTTAAAAAATCTATTTGGATGAAACAGAATATTTCTTTTCCAAAAAAAACTTCCGGATCGTGACAAGTTTTTTTCAGTACTAGCTGCAAGATTTCTTTTTCCTGCATGGATCTTGATTATGTAACTGGGTGGAAATCCATTTAGGGCTGCTTTCCCTTAACCAAAACCCAGCCATCACAGTTAATAATGTCTACACTTTTTCCAAACCTAGACCCAACCATCACAGTTATTAACATCTACACCTTCCCTAAACCTTAGCCCAACCATAACAGTTATTAACATCTACACCAGGGGTGTCCAAACTTTTTGGGCCGAGGGCCAGATGCCAAATTTGACACATCTCACAGACACGCATATATATATATATATATATATATATATATATATATATATATATATATATATATATATATATATATATATATATATATATATATATATATATACATACAGTTGAAGTCAGAATTGTTAGCCCCCCTAAATTAATAGCCCCCATTTATTTTTTCCCCAATTTCGGTTTAACTGAGAGAAGATTTTTTTCCACACATTTCTAAACATATTAGTTTTAGTAACTCATTTCTAATAACTGATTTATTTTATCTTTGCCATGATGACAGTAAATAATATTTAACTAGATATTTTTCAAGACACTTCTATACAGCTTAAAGTGACATTTAAAGGCTTAACTAGGTTAAGTTAACTAGTCAAGTTAAGGTAATTAGGCAAGTTATTTTATAACAATGGTTTGTTCTGAAGACTTAAGGGGCTAATAATTTTGACCTTAAAATGGTTCATAAAAAATTTAAAACCGCTTTTATTCTAGCCGAAATAAAACAAATAAGTCTTTCTCCAGAAGAAAAAAATATTATCAGACATTCAGTGAAAATGTCCTTGCTCTGTTAAACATCATTTGGGAAATATATATATATAAAAAAAGAAATAAATCAAAGAGGGGCTAATAATTCAGACTTCAACTGTGTGTAGGTAGATATAGATAGATAGATAGATAGATAGATAGATAGATAGATAGATAGATAGATAGATAGATAGATAGATAGATAGATAGATAGATAGATAGATAGATAGATAGATCATAACAAGAACTGCTGCTTAATTTAAGGCATGTAATAGCGACACCCGGTGGTTATTTATTGAATTACGTTCATTTTTGTATAGCGGGCCAGATCCTATTGATATTTATAAAAAGCCTCGCGGGCCGCCACAAAACTGATTGTGGGCCGCAGATGGCTCGCGGGCCGTAGTTTGGAGACCCCTGATCTACACCTTCCCCAAACCTCAACCTAACCATCACAGTTATTAACATCTACACTTTCCCTAAACCAAAACCCAACCATCACAGTTAATAATGTGTACACTTTTTCCAAACCTAGAACCAACCATCACAGTTATTAACATCTACCCCTTCCCCAAACCTAAACTCAACCATCACATTTATTAACATCTAAACTTTTCCCAAACCTAAAACCAACCATCACAGTTATTAATGTTTACTCCTTCCCCAAACCTAAACCCAACCATCACAGTTATTAACATCTACACCTTTCCTAAACCTAAACTCAACCATCACAGTTATTAACATCTACACCTTTCCTAAACCCAAACTCAACCATCACAGTTATTAATGTCTACACCTTTTCTAAACCTAAACTCAACCGTCACAGTTATTAATGTCTACACTTTCCCCAAACCTAAACCCAACCATGACAGTTATTGATGTCTACATTCACCCCAACCCTAAACCCAACCATCATCATTATTAACGATTACACCTTTCCCAACCCTCAGGTCAAACAATCACAGTTATTAACGTCTACCCCTTCCCCAAACCTAAACCCAACCATCATAGTTATTAACGTCTACATCTACCCCAACCTTAAACCAACAATCATCGTTATTAACGTCTACTCCTTTCCCAAACCTAAACCCAACCATCATCGTTATTAACGTCTACTCCTTTCCCAAACCTAAATCCAACCATCACAGTTATTAACGTCAACACCTTCCCCAATTGTAAACCCAACAATCATAGTTATTAAAGTCTATACATACCCCAAACCTAAACCCAACCATCACCGTTTTTATCGCAAAGCCACAAGTTACGGAGGTTTTGATACTTAACACACTTGCCATTGTACTGTTATTTGCAACCACAGGAGCAACGAAAAGTAGGCTACCTGTCATGACAAAACAGATGAAAAAGTCAGTGAGTTGCATGGTGGCGTTGCTAAATGAATATACCCTAGTAG